CCCTCCCATTTTTTTCCATGGCAGTGAAGATTGCTAAACTGCAGCACCCTGTCCAGAGACATTTTCCAGGGTTATGTGCGTACAGTTCATGGGGATTCTATTTCCTTATGATCACTGACAGAAAAAGGACTGATTCTATCCGTGGAGGGAGGTCAGATGTAGGTATACCTAACTGCAAGGTTCCACAGATGCAGCCTTTCTATTTTACACTACTAAGATATCCGTGTTATATAATGTACTCTGGAGTGTTTGGGGTTGGTTATCTATTTTGATCTAAGGAAGTCATAAACTGGAGCTTCAAGCTTTTGACTTAACCTCGCAAGCTGCGATTCTCAGACACGGTCTCAGGGTGTCACTGTTGGACAATGTGGAGAAGCAGGTTTTGTCCCCGGCGTCTCCTCCTATGCTGGAGGAGCGGCTCAGGAACTGGGTGGAGAGAGAAAGGCAGGAACTGCTGAAAAGCATCCGCAGCCTGGTCACGGGCATTACATGGATTTATTTGCATCACGGATTGTTTCAGCTCATCGGGGAGACTAGTTTCATACGGTTCTCAGAATAGCGCTCAGCAAAGCAAAGAATGGAAATGAGATCGCGAGCGCAGCGCCAGGTAGTGCCTGGTCACATCACGCTGCTGGCCGTGCTGCTGYCCCTCTGCTGCCCGGCGGCGCCGGAGCGGCTGCGCTAYGCGATTCCCGAGGAAATGRRSAGCGGCTCCGTGGTGGGGCCGCTGGCKCGGGACCTGGGGCTGAGCCCGGCAGACCTGCCCGCACGGCAGCTGCGCCTGGTCTCGGCGGCTAGAAGGCAGCTGAAATACTTCTCGGTGAGTGCGGACACGGGGCACCTGTACGTGAGCGAGCGTCTGGACCGCGAAGAGTTGTGCGGCCACTCGGTGTCCTGTTCCGTTAGTTTCGAGGCTTTCGTGCAGAACCCWCTCAACGTTTTYCACGTCGACGTGGAYATCCAGGACATCAATGACAACTCCCCGGTCTTCAGCAAGGCTGCTCTCGATCTAGAAATCGCGGAATGGACTGATCCCGGTGCGCGATTTCCACTTGAGATGGCGCAAGATCCGGATGTGGGAAGCAACTCGYTRCTCASCTACCARCTCACCGAAAACCCYTCMTTCAGSYTGKMAGTRAAGGAAAGYCCAGATGGAAGYAGGCAGCCCGARCTSGTGTTACAAGCAGSTTTGGATCGCGAGAAGCAGAGCTCGTTTGAGATGGTGCTGACGGCGGTGGACGGCGGGTCTCCAGCGAGGTCGGGCACTGTCCAGATTCRCATCAACGTGACAGACGCSAACGACAACGCGCCYGTGTTCAGCAAAAGCAGCTACGAGGCGCGAGTGCGGGAGAATGTGGCGACGGGCTCGCTGGTGCTGCAGGTGCGAGCCACGGACGCGGATGCGGGCTCCAACGGACGAGTCTCCTACTCCTTCAGCAATGTGCCCGACGCCGTCCGCGCTGTCTTCAGCATAGACAGTGACAGTGGTGACATCCGCAATGTGGGAATTCTGGATTACGAGGAATGGAAGGAGTACACCTTCGGAGTGGAAGCAAGGGACGGGGGTGGGCTGAGCAGTCACTGCAAGGTACATATAGAGATCACGGATGAGAACGACAACGCGCCCGAGATAACGACGTTGTCTGTGTCGACCTCAATACCGGAGGACTCCCCGCCCGGCACCGTCGTGGCCCTCGTGAACGTGCACGACGCGGACTCTGGCGAGAACGGGAAGGTGTGGTGCGATCTGGAGGGCGAGTCGCCGCTGTCGATCGTGGCGTCGTCGGGCAGCTCGTACAAGGTKGTGACGGCGAGCGCGCTGGACAGGGAGCGTGCGTCCGAGCACAACGTGACGGTGGTGGCGAGCGACCGGGGCATCCCGTCGCTGTCGAGCCGCACGGCGCTGTCGCTGTCCGTGTCGGACGTGAACGACAACGCGCCGGTGTTCGAGGAAGCCGCGTA